TGCAAAAGGTTATAGAAAACTTTGATACTTTGAAAAACTTTATCGAAAACTTTGCTACTTCAAAAAACTTTATCGATAACTTTGATACTTCGAAAAACTTTATCAAAAACTTTGACACTTTGAAAAACTTTATCGAAAACTTGGATACTTTTACACTTCGAAAAACTTTATCGAAAACTTTGACACTTTGAAAAACTTTGGCGAAAACTTTGACACTTTGAAAAACTTTGACACTTTGAAAAACTTTGGCGAAAACTTTGACACTTTGAAAAACTTTGGCGAAAACTTTGACACTTTGAAAAACTTTGGCGAAAACTTTGACACTTTGAAAAACTTTGGCGAAAACTTTGACACTTTGAAAAACTTTGATGAAAACTTTGACACTTTGATTTACTATAGTTAACTATAGTAAACGTTAACTATAGTATTTTTTTATTAGGGTAACTAAAGAAAAATAAGAAGAGAAACTTAATAATGATATTTCTTTGAGTACTACCTCAGTTTGATTGGCCGGTCTGGTATTTTATGAAATCCTTTAACTTTCAATTGATATTTCTCATATTAATTCGTGTTTTAAATAATTTACCACAGTTTATATAGAAATAACTTCTTACCTCTTCATCAAAGAATTGTAAAGTAAGAGAAATATCCTAAAAAGAGCACGATTTTTACAAAGTAAATAATTTGATAAAAAAAGCAACTGATGATATAATTATTCAGAAATTGAAACACTCACGCACAGGTGTTTTTTTTGCATTAATATCTAAATGCAAAACATAATGTAAAAGAACACATTTCTACGTAATTGATCCACGTTTTAAATGAGGAATTTATGTTTTATGTCATGATAAGGGGATTAAGTAACAAAAGAATGTATGTAAAAAAAACTTATGTCGGAAAATGCAAAAAGAAACCTTTGTTCCTCTCCTATTAACTTCAGGTGCAGAAACATTAACATCATAATAAAGAGCCTAGTCATACTTTGGGCAACCAAAGTACTGATCTCAGGTTTCCCCAATAGGTTTCAGGTTGCCCTGTCAAAATGTCCACAATAATAAAAATGTATTAATGTAGTTCTCTCAAAAAACTTACATCATTTTCATATGAGGCATCCGGTAAATTTTTACTATCCGCGCACATATTACGCTCTACTTTGTTATGTATTGACAGCTTCATACAGCTCTTCAAAATATATTAAGTACTAACGTGCATTATTAGGATGCATAGACATTTTACAATTATTGACTGAGTTCGAGGCCAACATGCGTTTTCTCGTACCCAAAAACCAAACTGTCTGCCTGCATGAGGCCGTTATGGTCGACAAAACGCATTTTCCCCGATAATATACATGTAGTCAATAAATGTTTTGTTACACCTTTCATTTTATTTTTTTTTTCGTCATTTTGAACACCAACGAATGTGTTTTAGCCCCGCCCATTCTTTGAAGTAAGCGGTCCAACATCTCATCGATCGGTCCAACATCTCATTCAGCGGTCAAACGTCGGTTTTTTAATGCCCGCTCATCAAAACATTAGAAATGTTAGACTTTATTTTGGTACAGATTTGGATAGGAACAATTTTTTTAAAGGTATAACAATTAGATACATATATATCGAAGACGTATTGTCAGTTAACAATGATTATTTCATAAGTCGACACGATGTATCCAGGTGGGCTTGAAATGAATACCACCCAGTCTTATACATTTGTTTTATATTAGGATATTTTACAAGAAAAAGAAGTCAATGGTAATCTAACAACAAAGATTAACGATAAACTTGATGGTTATGACTTAATTTTTTAATCGTCAACTTCCCCTATTTATGTGGTAATATACCTTCAGAACCTACATATGGGGCTTAAAGCTCTCAGTTCAGTTGACTTGATATGCAAGAACATGCTCTACGTATGAAAAACTTCTTGAATATAGTTCTTTATCTCCAACAAAGTAAGTTATTGATAAACAAGATGATGAAACAAGAATATCAACAGTTTCATTTAAAGTCATCATTTCTTTAGTTTTATGATGCATGCAATTGACACAGTGGCAAAAGTCTCATCAAAAGTAAAAGTTTTTAAAAAAAGCAATGTTTTTAATACTAGATAAATAACAGTTTCAAATGACACAACGATTTTTTTCACTCCATATATATTCTGATAGAATATCGGCATTGTCACATGACAAAGATACATGATATCAGCACGTTAGTTAGTTTCGCATAGGCGTCGGAACCGGGTGAGGATGGGTAATAGCCCCCCCCTTGTTTTGCATAGATAGACTTCATAAAGGCATTGGACATTGGGGCGTACTTTTTGCCACTTTCAAATCGCACAGGTTGCAGTGTATTCAAAGAAAAATGGGTGTAGGGTTAAAAATGGTACCGAAAGAAGCTTGATAAAACGTTTTACTTTGATTTTATAACGTTTTTATCATTTATTAATAATTTTTTTTTGATTAGAAATTTTTAAAAAATAATTAGTTTACGTGTCGCCAATTTATTTTCAACAGCCTTCAGTCTTTCAAGTTTCCTTTCTTGAGATAGAGAGCAGGGTTCTCCATGGGCGGGTTAATTAACGTAGCGGTCCTATGTCTTTGCCATCGTCCTTGCCATCGTCTTTTAGTAGAGAACCAACCATGCCATAGGAAAGTTGTGTATTGTCACTTTTCCTATTTAAACTGTTTTTCCCCTTGTTCTACATAATTTTGAATTTTTAATTCATCTGAAATGTAGGAGGTTCAACGATTTCTTCTTTCAAGTTTATTTGATTCTCCTCTGAAAGGCGAGAAAACGCTGCATCTGGTTGGGGAGAAACTGTGGCATTAAGGGCCTCGGTCGAACTTTCGTCTCTGACGTCATTAATCCCTCCCGTCACAAGACCAAGGGCCGACAATGACGTCTGGTCAGGGGAACTGTCGTGTTTGAAAACCACTGAACCAGAATCGCCCTCTGCAGAGAAGGTATGATCACCTGGGTCTAAAAAGGAGACTAGGAATGAAACGGGAACATTTCCCTGTTCATTTCTCAACAGCTTATAATAAAACACTGAGCTCAATATCCGACCACGTGGATGGTTTTGAAATGTTATGGGTTTCTCTGGCAGCCTCCGATGAGCAATATCTTTTTTTTAAAACAAGAAAAACAATCTTTGGCGTGCCAAGGGGTTGCAATCCTTAACATGTCGCACTATTTAACGACCCGTCCGAAGGACTTTGAATTCTAGAATTTTTTTTTGAAATTTTAAAGCAGGACCCTGGGTCGTGACGTCAGCGGAAAAGACGTTATAAAGGTCACAAATTCCCAATCGTATCTGACATAAATTGTTAAAGCATGTGTATTTTACTTAGGAAAGTCGAGGAAGTATTTTTCAGGCTTTATATTTACTTCTTGATCTTTGCATTTGTGCAATCTGAGAAAAGCAATCCAATTTCTTCTTTCTGATGATGGTAGTCGCCGGCGTAGTGCATTGGTAAGAGTGTCTGCTCTAGAGTTGCGAAGTAAAAAATTGATTCTTAATTTCGTCGCGGGTTCGAATCCCATTGTGGGACGAGGAGACAGGTCCTTCGAATAATAGTATGTCCTGTGTCACAATAGGTGCTGGATCGAAAAAGAAACATCACTGCTCAATGGCCGTAGATACTGAGTATAGGACAAAATTTGCAAAAAAGGAATTTGATAGGCTGCAAAATCAGTATGAACTTGTCCCAGTTGATAAAGATGGTAATTCACTGTCTTTGTAAAAAAATAAAATTTATAAAATTTTCTTGTTTCAAATATGTCATTTTTCTAAGTCTATGGAAGAAAAATGGCAATAAACTACATCATATAATAACTTTTACAGGAAACAAATGTTAAAACAGCAAAAATTAAAACTGACATTTTTTTAAATTCAATGTTATTTTCCAATAAATATATATTGGAATAGAGTAAATATACCTTTCTCTGCTTAAATCTTGTGTAGTTTTGTCACAGAAAAAGAAAAGATAGTTCTAAGCGGAGAGGAATTAATATTTTTTGGGATGCAATTCGTCCATGTATACTTGTAAGAAATACTAAATTTGTACTCCAATCGTAATTTCGATGGTCCAGAATTAACAGTCAGGAATAAAAAAAAAAGCATATGACTGCAAGTACCTTTGATTTGATCAGTTCTCACGTCTTCACAACTTTTTCTTTGAGGGGCTATTTTATTCTTCCTTAAATCTCCCAGGGAATTCATTGTTTATGTAGATACGTTAGATCAAATCAGCCTTTATTACATTCATTAGAAACATGCTTAAGTTGATGAATATCATTCATGTATAAATTAGAGAGAAATATATGTATTTTATTTTGCATTGTGTCCGAAATTCCACGATTTCAAAATTTAAGGATAGAAAAAACAGCCGGACATCTAAACAATCTATGGTTGGATCTAGGGTAATGATGGGGTTAGGGTTTAGAATCTCTCTGTAAATCATTTTATCGTTACTTACATGGTGAAGTAACGATAAAATGTCTCGTAACCCTTCAAAACAATAACTGGTTGGAAGGGTAATACATAAAGGCAAGGAAAGCGACCCCCTAGTCCTTCCCACGAAAGAAGTTTTTTTTTCTTTAAGTCGGACGGACGGACGGACGGACAGCTAAACAGACGGACGGACAAACCCAAATTTATATATTTGGGATAGGCCTACGATTTTTCGGTTTTATTGGCTTTTTAGAGATTTTTTTCTCAAGCTTTGCGTGGGTAAAATAAACCCCCGGTAAAAACTTCTCGATCGGCACCTGTTAAAATCTTCATACAGAAATGGAATAAGTAAAAAAAAAAATAGATATATTGCTTTACTACTTAATATTTCTTAACTATCGATAAAATAAGTCTTGGTCATTCTTTTATCAACATCCAATTTACGTTGTGAAAAGTTTTTTTTGTACAATTCTGTTTACAAATTCCAGACATATAAAGACGAATTAAGTCTATTGTAAATTATAATTGAGTTTTTGTTTTACGTCAATTGGTATGCCAGAAGAGTTAATCTAAGACACAACATTATAAAATTATCACCTAGATGAACAAGACATGAAAAGATAGCAATTTTCATTTTATACACTTTCATCTGAACTTGAAGATATGCGACAAGAGTTTTCAAATTCCAAGTCCAACTGCTTCTTTTCAGAAAGGCGAGAAAGAGCTTTATTAAGTCGTAAGCAAACTGTGGACTTCCGGAGGTCTGTGAGACTTTCGTCTCGGACTTCATCTATCCCTCCAGTAACTAAACCCAAAGCATGAACAGACCTCTGGTCAAGGGATCTGTCGTGTTGGAAAACAACTGATCCACTGTCTCCTTCTGAAGAAAAAGGGTCCTCATCGGAGTTAAAACTCGAGACAAGGAACATTTCACTTCTATTTTCAAACAATTTATAATAAAACTCTGGGCTGACGATTCGACCATCAGAAAGATTAGTCGTTGCTCCCTTTTTATGTACGACTGCATTTGCCGGTAGGGGTCCTTCGTAAATATTTACATTGCATGGTTTTTCCATTCTGTTCAAAAAGGTCGTGTCACAGTTTCTACGTTTGTCTTTATCTATTTGAAAAACGGCAAAATCGTGGAAAGGTTCTGGATCTGAATAAATGCATTCTCCGACTTGGGCAAGTTGCTTAGATTCTCCAGACGGAACGTACACAAATCCTTTCTCCCTAGGTAATGCATGATGGCACGTCAATCCATACAACTCATCTTGACCAAGATTGTCTCTCAGAAGAGCTCCAGCTGTTGCATAGGACGGTTCTGGATTTTTACCATTTTTATCTAAGTAAATCTTTTCTCCTTGTTTCACATGACTGTATATTTTTATTTCACCAGACACGATTTGTAGCGACATAGTATTTAGGAATTCAGGGTCAAGTTTGTAGAGTTCAGATTTTAGACTTTCAATATCTGCTTTGTTTCTTAACAATATCCTGAACTCTGATGTTTCCCAGATACCAAAGCCTTGTACGTCTGGTCTCCTTTAAAGACAAAAATAAAAAAAAATACAATTGAAATCTTTTTATAATTATAAACTATTCTAAATTAAAGCATGACGTAGTAAAATCCATCAAACTATTTTTAATCTTTGAAGTTTTTCCACAGAGTAGTATAAGTATGGAATAACAAATATCAAACATACTCAAATAGGATATGTGTCACAAGTGACATTGTGTCAATGTTTAATATTACAATGTAGCTGATTGTACAGGTATTGGTAAGAGTTATCTTTATTTGGGCATTAAGAATTATGGTTTATTTTATTTATACACTATTGGTCACTGAGCTGTACCTGTTGCTATTCTTATCAACGTATACTCGTCGAACCCGTTTAATGAGTCTGGTCAGTTATTTTATACTGGGTGTTGTCTTACTGGATGCCGGGAGTTATACTTTACCCATGCTTAGTGATCTTGGGTGTGTTTTTTATTTAACCCATGCTGTGTGAACTTTGGTGCGTTCTTTTTTTCCCTGCTGAGTGATCCTGGGATTCAATGATGTCTATAGCGGCGTTTAGAGCAAGTCCCGGGGGCCGACAGTATGTTTATCTTGTGTAAAATGTCCCACCTCCGTTTTTACACTTTATAATATTTTTTGTTATAAGTTTTAAAGAGCAATGTTAAGTTCTATGTAAAAATATTAGCAATATAGCGAGAATGTATATATTTACGCTCTAGTTCATTTACTTGTTAAACGGCAAATAAATGTTTTCTTTTGTAATTTTTTTGTGAAATCTAGCATATTAAACAGATATTTCTTTTGAATATTTATTTATTAGAAAACCCTGAGAAAATTGAAAGTGACCAAAATTGTATATTAAACTTTGTTTCGAATGGGATGATTTGTGTACGTGGTGAGGCTAACCTAGGATATGGTAGACGATGTAGCGACGTGGTGTGAAACTGATCCGTGACAACGATGATTGAACTTTCAGCCTTTCAGCCTTGTTTGTTCATTGTTCATTTGCTGATAAATTTATTATTTAATTTTTATAGATCTTGTTGTTTCTTGGTACACAGGAGGTCTGCCAAAATATCATTTGTTTTGGTTAGTAAATTCTAATTTAAAGAATCCATCACAACTTGAGGTCAGTTGTGACAACAAGTATTTAATTTCAGTAAATAAGATTGTGTGTGTACATGCATTAAAAATTCTTCCTTTCTCAAGTATAAATATAAAGAACTTAAAAAATGAAAAAAAACATATGAATGATTTCAAAACATTTATCAAATTATATACAAATTGTTTGATTGTATGTTGTTTTACGCCCCTCTCGAGAATTGTTCACTCATAGAGAGACACCATAACTACATGTAGCCGGTAGAGAGGTGCAAATTTTGTTCTATACTCGGCACATATTGCCATTGAGCAGGGGGTTATCTTTTTTTGTGTCATTACCTAATGCGACATGGGACCTTTGTTGATATGGTCTCATCCGAAGGACCTGTCTCCACGTCCCATTGCTTTCAAAGTAATTGCGATTATGAATACCTCCTTATTCTTTCTAACCAGTGCCCTCTCTTTGGACAAATATACTAAAGGAAAAAGAAACGCATAATAAACTTTTGAATAAGATTAAAACTTTTATTTCCAATATGTTTTCCAGTATTGTTATCAAACAATTTAATCCAACTTTAAACGACAAGTAACCGAAATCTTGTGTGACTTTGACTGATAATTCCTAAGTTATTGAAATTGATAAGTCGATACCCCCCAAAAACAAAATAAAAATCCTCATCATCTCCCTTGCGCATCAGTAACAGCCTTGATTTTCTTGTGCATTGAGTTCACCAGAGGATTTATCTTTCTCATAGAATTATCATTCAAGCCTTCCGACGATAGTCTTAATGGTTGAGAGTAGCTGTGTTATTCCAAAGCCAACAAATCCTCCCGCCCAATGAATCCCACGAATTTTAAATTTAGGATAGAATTTACAGAATCTAGCTGATCTGGTACACGTGAGGTTTTGTAAGGAAGTCTCGACAAACACTGTCTACATTTTCTCAGCGCGAACATGCTAAAAACATTACGCATACGGCGCGTACGTGCGAGTGTGAGAGTAAAATCGACGTAAAGTTGCCAAGCTTGCGTACCAAATTAGAGCAGAGAGTTTCTGTCAGTATTAGGGTGAAAATATGAGTCTGGCTGTCTGCTGTAAAAATATCGGTGTCAGTGATAATGACTTGACAAAAAACCGAGGTATCATGATGAACAGCCCTATCTTGAAGTGAAGTTGTTACGCACCAACGTCACCGTCATGGTGGATTGAAAACCTTGAAAACTTTTTAAGTTACTCTCTGACGACCGAAAAGAACTTGTTTGAAAATTTAAAAACAAACTGCACAGCAACATGTTGTTGCCTTTTTATTCACTTATGGAACTCAATTACTAGACCCTATGTAACTTCTGTCAGCCATACCATGATTGCAAGAAATTTATACTGACTGCAAATATCGGAAAACGATGTCTGTAACTCTAATGCATCGATTGGCACTACAAAATGGGATCACAAAAATGTCACCATCAACATGCACGTGTATTTGGTTTTTTATCACTTCCCATACGCAACGCAATACATTTCATGGTTGAGTAATTTTGACCAACGATTTTAGTGCACAGTAACCAAATTACACATGTGACCAATTTTCATAATTTTCGGCCACGAAGTTAAATATTTTTCGCTATAATGCTATTATGCGTTTCTTTTTTCTTTAAGTATAGATAAACACAGAAACAGGCCATCGTTGTTCACCCTTCAAAGAGGAAGTTTCTTGCTCTTCTAAAGAAAAAATAATTTCAAAAAATACTACCATGTCAATGTACCCATATCAGAGAGAGAGAGAGAGAGAGAGAGAGAGAGAGAGAGAGAGAGAGAGAGAGAGAGAGAGGGAGAAAAAATAGAGATGGAGAGAGAGAGATCCCTACCACTGGAGGAAGAAATTAGCTTCTCAGTTTCTTTAGTAGTATCCCCGGCTAGGTAAAGCTGGACTTTTTGGACACATAATGGTGCAATGATCTGAGACGATGATCTGAAATTTCTCATCTTTGTTGCAATCTTAGAGACCAACTGATGGTGGTAAAAAAGACGTGGAAAATTGCTGATTGAATACCACTTTTCAGTGTATGGGGATCGATATCCTCTTAAATTTTACGATCAAAAGTTAACATTCTACATGCAAAACAGCGAATTTATACATGTACAATATTTAAGGAAGATAAAAAAAAACCTGTTAAGATAAATTTTGCTTCTTACCAGATTTAGATCTCCGATGTATGTTTCTTTCCACGGATATATTAATGCATTTCTCAAAGGCATCTGACTGTCTTTTTCCTATCTGCGTCTGCATATGAAAACGACATCATTCAGAATGTAGAACTTTGAACTAGGTCTTTTAAAGTGATATATATAATAAAAAAAATGTAATATGACTAATGCAGTAATTGTAACCAAGATCGATTTTTCTATTTTAAGAGTAGGAAATAACAGAATTTGAAACCTCTTATGAAACAAAAATAGCCCCGACTTGAACTGTTGGATACTAACATGTGGTCTGGTTCCTGGAGTGACGCTCGTACTCGTAACAAGGGGAAAGCGATGTGTGAGAGAAGAGGTCATTCTATCCAGAAAAAAATAAATTGAAAAAGGTTTTAAAATGAGTAACCCAGAATTAATTTGACAAAAAAAAGATGTGTTTGTGAAACAATGATGCGTCTGCATATGAAAACGACATCATTCAGAATGTAGAACTTTGAACTAGGTCTTTTAAAGTGATATATGTAATAAAAAAAATGTAATATGACTAATGCATAATTGAAACCAAGATCGATTTTTTTATTTTAAGAGTAGGAAATAAAAAATTTGAACCTCTTTTAAACAAAAATAGCCCCCACTTGAACTGTTGGATACTAACATGTTATCTGGTTCCTGGAGAAACCTTCTCAAAAAAGGGGAAAGCGATGTGTGGAGAAAAGGGGATTCTATCCAGAAAAAAATAAATT